ATGTGTGTTATTATTTATACCTGCAAGGGAGTCCGGCCTCCGCACGACGCGGGAATTGCCCGGTATAGATAACATCCCGCACTCAGGGGGATTTCTCCCGACCTCCTCGGGACGGACCTTCGCCTCCCCTGGGAGCCCTAGTCGGTGCGGCCCAGGGCTGCTGCCAGGAGTCTGGGGGCCAAGGCCCAGCTCGGTTCCTCCTGGGCTGCCGCGTGTCCGGGCCCAGAACGGGGCCTCTGCACTAGCCCCCTAGATTAGGTAGGACTGTCAGGCAGACCTAATCTATCTCCGCCACGTGGGAGGCCAGAACCGCGCACTACCCTGCCGAGGTCACCTCTGGTACAGTGCTGTCACAGGGACGCTGCTCCCACGTCCTTTCAGCTGTCCCGCCTCTTCGGTTTTCGTGCCCGCATTAAATGCGTTCACATGGGGGTCGGTTCAAATTCATGCAACCGTTTTCCCTCCACTCTTCCCCCTATAAATAGGGGATGCCAAATACTCATCTGTCCCATTTGCCATTTCCGCTTCTTCTTGTGCATTTCAAGTTATCACTCTCCCTGCGCACCCACATTTCCATTTTCCAGCAACCTCCGGCGTCCTGTGCCCAGATTCCGGCGAGCCTTCAGTCCTTCTTCTGCCGTCATCAGTAAGTCCTTTTTGCGACTCATCTTCCCTCTTTGCGGTGTCTCTTTTCCCCTCTGCTACCTCCCACTTTTTATGTCGGAGCATTCCTCCTCCTCTGTTGCTGTAGTATCAATCCGCCGCCGAGCTCCCCGAATCATCGTTCTTTCCTCGCCTTCACCCTCATCTTCGTCACCATCTTCTCCTCCTCCCCCTTCCCCTTCTTTTGTTTCTAGTCCCAGCTTCCACACCTCAGACCTACTTGAGTCTACCGATACCATGAGTTCTCCGTCTGCCCACTCCCCTTCGGCCCAAGCCCTTGAGGAGGCAGCCGAGCTCGACGCGCTCATCGCGCGGCAGGCTGCCTCCACTCCCTCCCCCAGATCCCCCCATGATTCCCCTGGCGGAGCCCAGGAGGGTGCCGGGGAGGATAGGGACTCATCGGGTGGGTCCCCTGCTCCCGAGCAGGGGAATGATCCTGAATTCTCCTACGGCTATCCCGACCTGCAGGAGGCCACCCTCTCTCCCCAGGATTTGGCCGAGCTGGCTAGGTCGTACTCCATCCCTCCAGCCTACGAGCCGAGGTTGGCCGGGCCCGACGACCGGGCCTGCCGGCCTCCCCCTGGCTTCGTAGCCATCTATAGGGAGCAGCTCATCGCAGGGCTCCGTCTCCTCATCCATCCAGCTCTAACCGAGATTCTGAACCACTGGGGGCTCAGAATCACACAGCTCCATCCTACCTCTATCAGGATCATCACCGGATTCCTGATCTACTGCCTTCTCTGCGACATCCCTTACTCTCTCTCCCTCTTCCGAGCTGCATTCATTCTTAAGGCCGCCCTCCCGGGGTGGTACTACTTCTCCCGCCGTGGCCCCCAGACCAAAGGAGGGAAAGGGGCCCAGGAGTTGTTCTTCGGCCTCCCCTCCTCCGTGAAGGATTGGAAGGAGGATTTCTTCTTTGTCAGATCCACACATTTTCCCCCCAATGTGTGGAAGGTTGGGGGAGTCAAGGCCGACCCCTACCCGAAGGACCTGGACTACGAGACCCTCGGCCAGCTGTTGGGCTCCAAGGTGAAGCTCGATGTCACCAGGATCTCTACTGAGCAGATCTCCGCAGCCGGGCTGATGGGGACGTTGTCCGGATCCTCCGGGGAAGTGGCGACCCCCCAGCCCGAACTCGACACCTGTAACACTGGCTCTGTCCCTGTCTTTATTCATAGCGTATAGATTCTCCCTTTTTTGCCTTTTACTGTCTTTCGTTTGGCTGACCTGGTGTTCATTTCAGTGAGAAAGCTCTCCCAGCTGCTGGGCGCACCCCTCGAGGAGGTCACTCCCGACCCCCAGCCCGGAGCTGCTCGGGGGGCCCCAGGTGGGGCTTCCACCGAGCCGCCCCCCAGAAGGAGACATCACAACCATCCCCCTCCAAGCAGGCCGCCAGCAAAAAGAAGGCGGCCGGTCAGAAGAGGGGCAGAGGGGACGAGCCCTCTCAGGCTGGGCAGAAGAGGCTCGCCCTGGTCTCCGCACAGCCTCCTCCTCTTGCGCGGGTCTCCGGGGGACCAGTCCACCTGGGCGTGGGCTCTGCCGAGGAGCAGGTCCAGGAGTCGACTCCCCCGAGCTTGTGGCACTTCCGCCACATAGCTCCCCTGAAGTCAGGCCAAGCCCCCACGATGCATGACCCCCCCACTTCTGTCCGTCCTGGAAACTCTCCATCAACGACCGAGTCCAGTTCCCCGAGGTGGCTCGCGAGCTGATGGTGGGCTCGGTCCTTCCTAGGGACAGGAAGTGGATGGAACTGGCCAGCCCCTCCGAGCTCTTGGACGCGTACTACACCGCCCAAGCCCAAGTAAGTACCGCCCATGGGTTAATTTCCCCCCCGTGTCTGGGTTAAGTGATGTGGCATGCTGATCTGCTTTCTCTCTTTTCCAGTCCAACGCTGCCGGTGCCGCCCTGGCTACCCGCTTCTCCGAGCTGTCTCCCGACCTGGAGAAGTTGCGGACGAAGAACCTGGAGGCGGAGAGGAAGCTTTCCCAGGCCCTCCAGGAGGCCAGCTCCCTTAAGGCCAAATTAGACAAGGCCGAGAAAGAGCTGGACGCCGCCCAGGTCCAACTCGCCTCCACCAGGTCGGAGCTCGACCAGGAGAGGGCTGGTGTGGCCAAGCTGAAGGAGGAGCATGCCGTAGAGCTCTCCGGCACCGTCAGCCGAGAGCGGAAGAAGGCTGTTCGGGAGTTTATCTCCTCCGATCAGTTCGAGGTGGACATCGCCCTCCTCAACCAGCCCATCCTCCAGGTTGGCTCTACGCGGGCCCTGACCCAGGTGCAGGGCCTCAACCTACCCGGCTTCAATGTGGCGGATTTCAAGGACTACGATCCTGCGGCCGAGGATAGGCTGGACTGGCTCTTTGATGGGTACCGGAAGGGGCATGCCCTGAAGAGCCTGGTCCGCCGAACCGACGTAGGAGCAGACCTAGAGGAGGTTCCCCTGGAGGAGGACGGGTCTCCAGGCAGAGCTGCCGGAAAAGAGCCGGTGGCCTAGGGCGGTAGCCACTCCAGAAACCCTTTCTGTCTTTTTGTAAGGATGCGACCATGCTCCAGTTGAAAATCTTGGAGGTCCATTCAGGACGGAAGGGGTTTCCTGCTTCCGGGCTCCTGAATAGCCTTCACCATACGCCTCTCACCATGCTTAAGGTGTACTTTCAGCTTCCACCCCGGTCGGGCCACCAGCAGGTAGAACAGACATCGAAGGAGATTACCAGCTCGGAAATTTTACGGTAGATAGGCAGGGCGCTTTGTAATAGATAGGCAGCTCGGAAGCTTTGTAATAGATAGGCTTGCAATGTATACACAAGACTTCGAAGAGTTATTTTCTTCTTTCCTTGCCCACTCGCAATGCTATGTGCCGACCTCCTGGGTCGAACACCTCACACCTCACCCCTCGGGGCTGAGTGCTTTAAATATTAAGCGCGTCCTTGCCGACCTCCTAGGTCGAACAATTCGCACTTCCGACCGAGTACTTTAAGCATTAAGTGCGTTCTTGCCGACCTCGTGGGTCGAACACTTCGCACTTTATTAAGCGCGTTCGTGCCGACCTCTTGGGTCGAACACTTCACACTTCAGAATATTTTAAGCATTAAGTGCGTTCTTGCCGACCTCCTGGGTCGAACACTTCACGCTTCATTGAGCGCGTTCATGCCGACCTCCTGGGTCGAACACTTCACGCTTCAGAATATTTTAAGCATTAAGTGCGTTCTTGCCGACCTCCTGGGTCGAACACTTCACACTTCATTGAGCGCGTTCATGCCGACCTCCTGGGTCGAACACTTCACACTTCATTTTTAAGCATTAAGTGCGTTCTTGCCGACCTAGAGCGCGTTCATGCCGACCTCCTGGGTCGAACACTTCACACTTCATTGACCCCTAGCCCCCCACTAGGACGTTGAGCGAGGGAATGCTGAATGTGCTAGTGTAAGGTGCAGGTTTGAAAATTGTAAAATGAAACAAGTACAAGTGAAAATTAAAACGAGCTGTGATTGAATGAGAAAACAAAAACTCGGATTCCAGAGAACAGGCCACGGATCACCCTGGTTTAACCTACGCTACAAACAACCGCAAATTGGAGAAGTGCCAAGTCCGAGGTACTTCAGATCCATCCGTCTTAGCGAGCTTGCAATAGCCAGCTCGGCTCGCCTCAAGGACCTTGTAGGGGCCCTCCCAATTTGGGTCGAGCTTGTTGGAGCCGTGCACTCGGCTTATCGAGTTCTTTCTCAGTACGAGGTCTCCTGGCTGGTACTGTATAGTCTTTACTTTGGCGTTGTGATAGCGAGCGAGTTGGCTTTTATACTTAGCCATTCGAATAGCCGCTTCCTCCCGCCTGACTTCGAGCATGTCCAAGTTGCACCTAAGCTCTTCCTCGTTGGATGTTGCCGCGAAATTCTGTGTTCTGGGTGAGGGAAGACCAACCTCTGCGGGCACCACAGCCTCTGCTCCGTATGTTAGGGAGAACGGGGTCTCGTGAGTAGCCGTCCTGGGCGTAGTGCGGTAAGCCCAGAGGACACTGGGGAGCTCATCCAACCAGCTTGATTGGGCGGATTCCAGTCTAGTCTTCAACCCTTGCAGTACAGTTCGGTTAGCGTTCTCCACCTGGCCATTGGCCTGGGGGTGACCAACCGACGTGAAGTGTTGGTTGATTCCGATCTCGGCGCACCAGCTGCGGAAAGGGTCCTCGGCGAACTGGCGGCCGTTGTCAGATATCAGGGCATGCGGAATCCCAAACCGGCAAACTATGCTCTTCCAAAAGAATTTCTGAATTGCCTTCCCCGAGATAGAGACCAGGGGCTCTGCTTCCACCATCTTGTGAAGTAGTCTATGGCTACCACGAGTTGCTCATATCTTCCCGGGGCTCGGGGAAAGGGACCCAGGAGGTCTATCCCCCATTGAGCGAAGGGCCAAGGACTGTGGATGGGGACCATCTCCCGAGCTGGCTGATGGCGCAGCGAAGCGTGCACCTGGCAGGTTCGGCATTTCTGGACCAGATCTGCTGCGTCTCGGAAGACGGAGGGCCAATAGTAGCCCAAAAGGAGGCACTTCTTAGCCAGCACTCGGGACCCCACATGGGCCGCACATATTCCTTCATGGACTTCGCGCGGGACGTAATCACCTTCCTCGGGCGTCACGCACTTTAGCCAGGGGGACAAGTACGACCTCCTGTAGAGGGTTCCCCCGGCGTAGGCGTACTTGGCAGTTCGGAGTTGGATGCGTCGGGCCTCAGCTTTGTTTTCGGGGAGTTCACCCGAGCTGAGGAAGTCAACGAGGGGCGTCATCCAGGTGGCCGAGCTGTCTATAGCCAGGAGCTGGACCTGATTGATTCTTTTCTGCTTTAGCACCTCCACCAATACCTCCTTGCTCAGGTGGGCAAATGAGGAGGATGCCAACTTTGAAAGGGCGTCTGCCCGCTTGTTCTGGGACCTTGGCACCCGCTCGATTTCGAACGTTTCGAACAAGGCCACCGCCTCTCGTACTTTGGCCAGGTACTTTTTCATAACCTCGTCCTTGGCTTCGTACTCCCCAAGGACTTGAAGGACGACGAGCTGTGAGTCGCTCCTGACCTGGATCGCGGTTATTCCCATCTGGTGGGCTATCCGCAATCCTGTGAGCAGGGCCTCATACTCGGCCTCGTTGTTGGACGCGGGGAAGTCCAATCGGAGGGCGTAGGTCAGTTCTTCCCCGGTAGGTGAGATGAGTAGGAGACCCGCCCCACTTCCTTCCTTGCTGGAGGCCCCGTCTACGAACAACACCCAGGGCTCCTTCGGCAGCCGCTCCTCGTGTTGGGGGTTTAGCTCGGTTAGACTCAAGCTAGCCCCCTCAGCAAGGAAATCCGCTAAGGCCTGGGCCTTGATGGCTTTGCGGGGTTGATAGCCGATGTCGTGCTCGGCTAGCTCGACAGCCCATTTGGTCATTCTGCCCGAGACCTCTGGCTTGGTAAGTATCTGACGCAAGGGCTGGTCAGTCAGGACTACAATGCCGTGAGCCTGAAAGTAAGGGCGGAGCTTGCGTGCCGCATGTACCAAGGCAAGGACCAACTTCTCGGCTGGCGAGTATCGTGTCTCTGGCCCCTGTAGAGCTCGGCTTACGTAATACACCGGCCTCTGAGCCCCCCCATCCTCCCGCACCAGGACCGCGCTGACGGCCTCGTTGCAGGCGGATAGGTATAGGAATAAGGTCTCCCCCAGCTCTGGGGCTGTCAGAGACGGTAGCTCGGCCAAGTAGATTTTTAGGTCGATGAAGGCCTTCTGGCACTCCTCAGTCCAGTGGAAGTCCTTCGGCGCTTTCAGTACTCGGAAGAAGGACAGCCCCCGGACCGCGGAGCGCGAGAGGAACCTATTCAGGGCGGCCATCCTTCCTGTTAGCCGTTGGACTTCCTTCACGCTCCTCGGAGGGGCCATGTCCATGAGGGCCTGGAGTTTATCCGGGTTGGCCCGGATTCCGTTTCGGGACACCAGGAAACCGAGAAACCTTCCCGATCTGACCCCAAAAGTGCACTTCTTCGGATTTAGGCGCATCCGGCTCTTCAGTAGGATGTCCAGGACCTCCCGCAGGTCGGGTACGAGGCGCTGGTCAGTTCGACTTTTGACGATCATGTCGTCCACATAAACCTCCATGCTCCTGCCGACCTGGTTTTGGAATAAGTTGCTCCCGCGTTCTTCAATCCGAAGGGCATGGTCCTGTAGCAGTAGGTTCCCTCCTCAGTGATGAAGGAGGTCTTGTCCCGGTCCTCCTCGGCCATCTCTATCTGGTGATATCCCTTAAAGGCATCCAAAAAGCATAAAACGTCAAAACCCACAGTAGAATCAACTAACCTGTCAATTCGAGGCAGGGGAAAGCAGTCCTTTGGGCAGGCTTTGTTAAGGTCTGTGAAGTCTACACACATCCTCCAGGTCAGGTCCTCCTTCTTGACCAGGACGGGGTTGGCCAGCCAGGTCGGGTAGTAGACCTCCAGGATGATCTTGGACTCCAACAACTTGCCGACCTCTGCCCTGATCACCTCATTTCTCTCGGGGGCGAAACTCCTTTTCTTTTGCTTTACTGGCTTGAAGTGAGGGTCCACGTCGAGGTGATGGACGGCTAGGTCCGTAGGGATCCCGGGCATGTTATCCACCGTCCATGCGAAGACCTGGGAGTACTCCCTCAATAAGGCCTTCAAGCCTTCCTTCTCGTCCGCTGGCAGCAATGCCCCGATGCGGATGACCTGGTCGGGACGTTCCTTCCTCAAGGGAAACTCCTCAATCTCATCCTGGGTGCCCAGCAGTTGGGCCTCATCCCCTGGGATGTAGGGCTCCAAACAGGTTGTCTGGGCGACCACCTTTTCTTGCCCCGGGAGTGTGGCTAGGTAACAAGCCCTGGCTACCTCCGGGTCGCCGTGCACCTCGGCTATCCCTCCCGGGGTAGGGAACTTGACGCTGAGGTGGTAAGTGGAGGAAACAGCCCGGAGGGCGTTCAAGGCAGGCCTCCCCAGGAACACATTGTACGGGGACGGCTGCCTGACCACCACGAAGTTGACGGGAACAGTCCGGCATTTGGGAGCCTGTCCTACTGTGACCATCAGGGTGATCATCCCTTCCGAGCTGATGGGTGGTCCGGTAAATCCCACCAGAGGTGTCCGGACCGGGGTGAGCTGGTCATCCCTTAATCCGAGCTCCTTGAACACCCTGTAGAACATGATGTCGACCGCACTACCCTGGTCGACATATACCTTCTTCACCCGATAGTTGTTGGTGACAATGTCTATCACGATGGCCTCATGGTTCCCAGAAGCCAGGGGGACCGCATCCCTTGGCCCGAAGATGATCTCCTCGTCCATGCGCAAGCGCTTCAAGGAATCGTTCCCTTCGGGGGGTGGTCGCTTGTTCTTCCGAGCTGCATGGCTGTCCCCCCCTGTGGGACCTCCGGCAATGGTGTTTATCACCCCCACCAGGTTCTGGGTGTCCTGGTCGGGAGAGTGGCCCCGAGGAGCGTCGCGCCGCTCTGGGCGGTCCCGACGCCGTCCCTCGTGCCTGTCTCCGTAGTGGCTGCGCCCGGGCTCCTGACCTGGTCGGCGCACGAACCGCCCTAAAAGGCCGCGCTGGATCAGGTCTTCTATCTCCTTACGCAGGGCCCAGCATCCCTCCGTGTCGTGTCCCACGTCGCGGTGAAAGGCGCAGTACCTGTCCTGGTTCCTTTTGTTTAGGGGCGTCCCCATCTTTGGCGGCCGATCTCCTAGTCCTTCCGCCTCCATAACGGCCAAGATCTGAGCTCTGGGCCGTGTTAGAGGGGTGTAGGTCTTCTCTGGGAGTGGCGGCAGAGCAGGGGCCTTCTCCTTCGAGAGCCGGTCGAAGACGTTTTTCTTGGACGGGGCGTCCTTGTTCTCCGGGGGGTTTGTCCGACCTCTCCGATTCCCGAGCTCCCGATCTGACTCCTTCTTCAGACGACCTGCCTCCTCCGCATTAGCAGCCTCGTGCGCCCTGCGAAGGAGCTCTTCCAGGTGCACGGGGGGCTTCTTGGCCAGGTCGTAGAAAAACTCTTCTACCCTGAGCCCGTTCGTGAAGGCAGCCATCACCACTTTTTCATCCCTGTCCCTGACCTGCAAACTCTCCGCATTGAAGCGGGTCATGAAATTCTTCAGTGACTCGTCGGGCCTTTGCCTGATGGACATCAGGTGGGTTGCGTTCCTCGCGTAGACCTTCGAGGAGACGAACTGGGCCGCAAACTGCCGAGCCAGCTCGGGAAAGCTCCGTATAGACCCCGGTTTCAACCCCTGGAACCAGAGCCGCGCCTTCCCCTTTAGGAACATGGGGAAGGTCTTGCAGCGGATCTCATCCGCGGCGGTTTGCAGGCGCATATGCGTCAAGAAGACCGAGAGGTGGTCCTCTGGGTCCGTAGAGGCATCGTACATCTCGATGCTCGGAATCTTAAACCTCCGGGGTAGGGGGTAGTCCTCTATCTCCCGGGTAAAAGGCGAGGTTGCATAGTTGTCCTCGTATGGCCGGGGCCTCAAGATCTGCTCGAGCTCATCCCGAGCAGGGTCCAGATAAAGGGGGTCACGGGGCCGGCTCTTGACAGACCGAGCCGGGGAACGCTCGAACCCATTCCGTGTGGGCTTCCTCGGAGAGGGGTCTCTGGGATGGCTCCTCGCAGACCTGTCGCGGGAATACCTCTCGCTGTCCCCGACCACCGAGGCTCGGGGGCGGGGAGGAGTCCGGGGGCGCTTCCTCCTAGGGGGTTGGTCCCGCGACTCGTCCTCCGAAGGATCAGGGGGTAACTCCTTCTCCTTCCCCTTGGCCTTGGAGGTCTGCGCACCCCCAGCCCCCTCTCCCTCTTTCGCCTGACGGATTATATCCTCCAGCATGGGGAGGTTCTCCGTCACAAACTGGCAGATCTGCTGCCTCCGCTCCCCTGAAAGGGCTGAGCCCCCGGCGCCCCGGGACGCCCCAACCTCTTTCTGCGGGAACCCCTCACCGCCCCCAGGGCCGGTGCTCTCTGCCGTGCGCTTGGATCGCGTCCTGGCCATCAACACAATCTTACTCATCTTACGGTTCCCACAGACGGCGCCAACTGAAGAAGCGCAGAGCTTCCCCGAGGAGAGCTGATCAGGGTGTCGATGGGAGAGCTGATCCAAGACCTGCAAAACAGAGAGGATGAGCTAACAAAGGGGGCCCGAGGGTTGTCCCCGAGGGCACTCCGACGGTCAAGTTAGTTTTCCGGTGAGTGAGTTTCACGGGAAGTAGTAACTGTCCGGAGTAAATTGCCAATAGTGAGCGTACCTTGTACAGTGGATGTGTGTTATTATTTATACCTGCAAGGGAGTCCGGCCTCCGCACGACGCGGGACTTGCCCGGTATAGATAACATCCCGCACTCAGGGGGATTTCTCCCGACCTCCTCGGGACGGACCTTCGCCTCCCCTGGGAGCCCTAGTCGGTGCGGCCCAGGGCTGCTGCCAGGAGTCTGGGGGCCAAGGCCCAGCTCGGTTCCTCCTGGGCTGTCGCGTGTCCGGACCCAGAACGGGGCCTCTGCAACATCCATAACTTTTATTATTCCATTTTTGTACCCAAACACAGCTTCTTTTAGATGCCGAGAGTGACAACAAAAAAGAGAGATGAAAAGAGGAGAAAAATGAAAGAAAAGAGATCCCATTTTCAAGTTTCAACTCTTGAGTCTCGATCAACTCCAAATTCACAAATTAGTAAAATGGTCAGCCCAATGCCGGCCAAACATAAAGTGGCGGACGCAGCCTAAGTCCATCAAAAACCAAAAAGAAAATCTCAGACGCAAAAAGAAATGATGATCAATCCATCAATTACTATTAGAGACAAATCACCCACGTAGCGACACTGACGGACGCAGAAGACGACGCCGTCTTTTAAATAAAATTCTCTCTCTCTCTCCAGCGTTCCCCCTGCAACCTCGATCCGACTCAATTTCAAAAAAAAAAAAAAAAAAGTAAAAATAAAGTTCAAAAGGCCGGTTTCGTCCCAGGTTGCAGCACCGTCAGCCATGTCATGGTTGGCTCGCTCCATAGCCAACACTCTCCGCCTCGATGACGACGACGACGATGCTGATGCTGATGCTGACCGACATGAATATGATGCTGGCGTAATCAAGAAGCCTCAGCAACAGCACCTAAACGACGTCGCTCAACATCACACCTCAATTTTCTTGCATCCCGCCGAATCCCTCGATTTAGAAGAAGTAGACTTAGAAGATCGCCCCGGGAAAAGCAATAGTTATCATAGTAACAGTAATAATAACAATGTCGTCGGGGATGATACTAGCAATTTCGAGGATATAGGCGATCGGAGTACGAATAATCAAGGGCGAGGGGTAAAAGAAGATTTATCTGAATTTAGGGAAACCCTGACGCGCCAATTATGGGGAGTTGCTTCATTTCTAGCTCCTCCTCCTCCGCCTCCGCCACCTCCTCCGCTGCCGCGACCCAGGAGCTTCAATTGGTTAGAATCGGATCGGAGAAGAACGGAGCTTGCGGAGAGGTCGGGTTCGGGTGATGAGGAAATGGACGGGCAATTTGGGCAATTTCGGGGATTTCCGCAAAGTTTTTTGGAAGTGGGGATGCCGGAGGAGGAGGAGGAGGAAGACGATTTATTAGCCGACGCGGTGGGGATAACGGAGGAAGCTTTGGACTTTGCGGAGAATACGGCTCATCATCCCGAGACCTGGCTGAATTTTCCCTTGTCGGAGGAGGAAGAATCTGATGGTAATTATATGTTGGATCTTTTTAATTTGTATGCATCAATAATGTGGAATGCAGCTCTTCCCAGAAGTTAAATTTGATTTTCAAACTTGACTTGCTACTTTCAATGTGATGTCAACTTACAATCTTTTTGCTTTCTTGTATTGAATTTTGTTGTCTGCTGATAAAGTTAAGGGGAGTGTATTTTGGTTGCTGCTACAGATGCATCATCCGTTAATCATACAGGTGGAACTAGAGGGTCAAGTGGCAGTTGACCTGACGATCATTTTTTGTTTGGATTTTTGAAATGGAGCATTTGTAGAACGAAGGTGATTGGTTTAGCAGTGGAGGAAAATATTAAATTCGTTTAAAAGAGGAGATTAAGGTGGTGTTAGCGTAGGGTGCTTTTTGGTGG